GTCAGTGTCTGACCTCACCCCTTTGTTAGCCCCCTTTGTTAGGACCCCCACAGGACCACCACAAAGCAGGTATTATTTGTGTGGTGGATCATTCTCAGTACTGCAGTGACAATGACGTTGTGGTGGTGTGTTGGTGTGTGTTGTGCTGGTACGATTGGAGCAGACACAGATTTTTTGTTTTTTAAATCGTGTCACCCAGCCCTTTGAGAGATTTCAGCACCAAAGGTCCCTCTCTAGTGTAATGAAACGTCTGTGTGCAGGTAATGAGTAACTTGCGTGGGTGAGATGAGAGACCTCTCTTCTGTGTTCTCAGCAGGAGCAGAGAGAGAGAGAGAGAGAGAGAGAGAGAGGGAGAGGGAGAGAGAGAGAGGGAGAGACCGACTTCACCACTGTGCTGTAGTGTAAGTCCTGTGTTGCCCAGAGGGAAAAGGTTTGTACATGAACTCCAATCTCGACATGATTTTCACATAATGCTGAAGTTAATATGCTTTGCACCTCCTGCCCTGAATGATTTCACCAAGCGTAAAGTGCACCACCCAGAGAGACTGAATCCCCTTTAGGCGAACTCAGTACTGCGAAAAAGCAGCAACAAATCTCCTGCACGTTAAATGGCCAGACATGCGGCCTGAGTGTGGCTAAACTTGCTGTGATGTGAAATTAATGTTACAAATGCCTCCAAAGCAAAGCTGCTGATTGTGAAAGACAAGGTGAGGCAAATTGAACAGCAATACTGGCTTGTCACATTGTGATAAACACAGCTTTGGTTCTGCGAGCTTGCTGCATTTGCCTGCACTACATGTGAAAAGCCTAACTCAGGCCTATCTAACTATACAAGTAGAGAACGTCAGCATCCACAGTTTGATGATGGAAGTTTATCTTTCGCTGACACTGATTGCCTACAGGGTACGCTTATAAAATGTTAAAGCGTTCTTGGCAGAAATGCTTCTTAGTAATAACAGTCCTTTTGAAAATAGGGTGCTGTGCTGCGGAAGAAAATAGCTTAATAATACTTCTTAAGATGGAAGTGGCTTATTTAAATGCAGTTTTACAGGAATAATGGAATGTTTTTGCTCAAAAGCATAAAAATTTCCATTTTGTCTTCTAATGAATTCACGTGTTACTTGTGAAATACATGCTTCTAAAGGAAGATACTGTACAAAAATCACCCCATAACCTTCCACAGGGCATAGAATAGTTCTTATTCTGTTATATATCGCTGAAATTGTTTACCCAGTTAAAGGGGAAACTCAGTCACTGAGAGTCATTAAAGGGGAAACTCAGTCACTGAGATAAAAACAGTCATTCAGAGTGATTTAATGTGAAATTCTGTCCATTCTAGAGAAACTGACCAACTTGGAATTCTTTACAGTAGAGTTGATAGGAACCATTTTATATATAATGTTGATGGTAAAATAGTGTTTAGCCAGAAATAAATGTTTTTTTGGGAACTATTTTGCCTCACAACACCCTCTGTGTAAACCTTATTGCAGCAGTATCATCAGGATATCAATGTATTCATAACTATTGCGTGTAATAACTTTCTGTGAGGCAGCTTTTAGAGGCATTAAACTCTTCAGACGTCCCATCGCTACGACTGTAAACAATTCTGACTCAGTAAGTATCTCTGGAATTAAGCATTTCACATCAAACCACTATCTTAACCATTTCACTATACAGAAGTTTGGAGAAACCTTTGCAGTTTGCATTTAAGACTGTTCCTTCAGGGATGCTGCTGCATCAGTTACAGTAAGACCTCTTTAAATATTTATCTGACAGGGGTGAAAGTGTCTACTCACACCTAAGCTTCTAGACTCCTAACAGAGGATCTGTTTGCTGGTGTGAGTGCAGATGGATGTGTGTAAATTGCACTTGCCATGTGGCAGGCCTGTCACACACAATTGAGTGAAGAGTGCCCCCTGCTGTTTGAATAGCAATGCTGTCTAAACCACAGTTGCATGATGCTTTTATTCCATACAGACATTAGTAACACAAGAGTAAGTAGCGGTGGAAGAATTCTCCACCCGCCTAAGTAAATAAAGCCAAGATAAAGGAAACATCTAACCAAGACTTGTTTTCCAGTACCATCCCCATGACGTAATAGTGAGCATGACTAGCATCGTTTGGAATGTGCCTAAACAGGACCACTATCTTTTCAGCTGTGCTAGAAGTCAGCGCAGGTCCAAAAGGCTGTTTCTCTGGGTCACTGACCCTAGTTAGACTGCAAATCATGTTCACTGAATAATTCTGAATAAAGTTGGCTTTTCTGGCTGCTTCCTGAACCTGCCTGCCTACTGATCCACAGAATACAACCATCTCCCACACCTCTATTCCCTGCTGGTCTAAGCTGGTTTATGCTGGTTTATGATGGTCTGGTGCTGGTTTAGCAGGTCACCCAACATGGTCATGCTGGTTGACCAGCATACCAGCATCGAAAACACAACACATGCTGGTTTTGTTGGTGACCAGCTATGCTGTTCCTGCTGGTTTTTGTAGCAGTATTGACAGAACGTTGGGCCTTTAACTGCCCAATGCCATCTTTAATAGTGCGTTCCGTTTACTAGAAGACATGGAATTTTATCTTTTGTGATGATTCTACCAGCAACTCCCAGTCCAAACACTAAATGCCTGTCAAACAGCCCTTATTTGTTCCATTATGTAGCTCCCCAGTCCATCTGCAACATGTCATGCCATAATGTCTGTCTCCTGACTAATTCATTAAGAGTGAATTAGAGACGTTCATTACCTTAAATTTAATTAAAGCCACAAAGCAGCAGGACAGCAGTTTCTAGATCGTAATAATTCAGCAGCCTAGGCTTGCGCTTCATATGTGTGACTAGGGATGGCTTGGCTTTCAAGATTATTACACTATTGTTAAAATATACTGAACAGGCCTCGGGGCCTTGTCATTGACTGTGAATACAACCAGCCAGTCATTCTCTATAATAATGATTTGTTTAGAAACTGAAAACAGCAGCAGCAGCAGCTCTGGACCTGGCATCTCTACTGAAAGAGTCACTGTGAAACTGCTACAAGGGAAAATATATGCTAATATGTCTGTCATAAGCTTGAAGTCAAACATGAAAAGTCTTTCAGAAGCTTCAAATATCGGTGTTTAACCTAGAATGGCCAAAAAAACTTCATCTTTTTAGCTTAGTGCTAAAACCCAACTAGAATCCTAGCTGAAGTTAGCATTATTGTACAATTGTTTTCCCCATGCTTTTGATACTTGAGTTTTGATACTTATGGTCTAAATTGAAGGCCTTGCTCTAATAGCAGTTAGTTTGCCATCTATTATATTGATAGATGTTAAATTTATTTAATTGAACCTTTCATATTTTATTCTAACACCAAAAATTAACTACAATTTACTTAAATATGACATCTTCTCCAGCTTTAAAATGACCTATTTATAATGAATTACTTCAATATGAGATGATCATTTAAAAGTAGGCTATCATACTCAAACAAGAGGCGTAGGCAGAATTACATTTTTTGGTAGGTCTGTTAAAAAGTGGGTAGGCCACCTAGGTCATTTCAGAGATCTGAAGAACCTAAATTGTCAAGCATCTTAGGCTAAAGCATTCATCCAAAGCAGGCAGGCAAAAATGATTATGGACCATTTATGTCTTACCTTTGAGGACTTTATACATGAAAGTAGACGACTCCTTTAACATTGTGAAATGTCATTGACATTTTGTAATAAAAGAGCGATAAATACCAAATTCGCAGACCACTGACAGCAATGACGCAGCAGCTATATAAAAGGCCCATATCCTACATTTGTCTTGGACTTTTTGTTCTCTGAGTTCCACTCACAATGTTTGTGTGGTTTTATGTACCAAATACAGTTATTCGTTTTAATATGACCATTTTCCAACCTCCCTTTATCCCTTAGAATTCAACTGGCTACTATCTTAGTGTGCTTTTAGGATTGATATACATAAATTAACTCTGTTTTCATTTGCTGCCCTGTATTGTGCTTCATTTAAAATCAGTCTTAGCTGAAATACTAGAAAGTTAAGCAGGATGCATGTAAATATGTTTGTTTTCATAACATCACAGTAATAGTAAATTCAAAATGGGCTGCTTCTGAAGCTAATTTCCATACATGGACTGCACGGACTGGAAAGTGTATGATATATTTTGAACCTTTAACAATGTTTATCTACTGCTTCAAACTTTTATTTTAAGAAAGTGAGGAAAATGTAGTTTATGCGCCCTTTAACACTCCCTCACTTTTTATTATAATTTCTTTTTGGCTGTGATGAGTAGAAAATGAGTAGAAAACAGCATAAAAGAAATTAAGGCTTGATATAAGGTTGCCAAGCAGTGATTGGTGGGCTGATAAAATAAGGCAGAGCTTGGGATCAATCGATTGGCAAGTGTAATGATATTGACTGGCCATAATACAATGACATCAAATCAGAAAATGGAAATGTGAAATAAAATCTTGAAAAAATGCATCTTAAAAATATTATTTTTGATTAGGTAGGCTTGTGATCAGCCAGGCCTGCTCTTGGCTATGGGCTTGGTTCAAACTACTCAAATACTTGGATTTCCTGTCTGACATCCAATCCAGCATTTACCTCATGCTGGATTGGTGCCACGTCTAGTGGTAAATCATTGCTGTCCCTACTTGCAATAATGTTTAAAGGGCCCCTATAATGGAAAACCTAATTTCTCTTCCTTTTTGTAGAAATAAATGCATTTGATGTGGTATGTGAACATTGTTAAAATATCAAAACTTAGCATTCACTCCCCAGTCCTGTATGGAATAATGGCTTATTTTTAGTTTTTCTTGTTGTGACATCACAAAAGTCACTAGGACATTTACTTGTATACACTTATTCATCAAAACACAGCCCATGTACACGTATCTGAGATAAAGGGAAGTTGGAAAATGGTCATGTAAGAATGAATGAGTGTGTTTGTTACATAAAACTCCACAAATGTCACAAGTGGGTTAATGAAAAGTAAAAACAATAAAACAGACATGAGCCCTTATTTGAAAAATTGTTTTATTCTTTACTCAAAAAAACTTTAAAATGGTAACATTACTGAAATCTTGTTTCTTGCAAAACCAATGCTATATAGACAATAAATACATATTAGACAATATTAGTTTACAATTAGACTCTTCTTCTCCCCCCGAGTTTAACAGTTTTAAAAACCCTTAACAAGGGCAGAATTAATTTACTTAGTAAAGGCTGTGACGTGTTCATTCTGCTGTTTCCAGAAAATGTTCTGTGTGTGTGATTCCGGAGTTTCAAAGTCTCTGTTAGAGTCTGAATCAGACTTGCGGCTCAGGGCTTTTGGGGTGCGCTGTCAACCCTAGAGCTGCCGTGTCCACCTCAGAGACTGTGTTTGTGTGTATGTGTGGGTACAGAGTGCTTCTCTGGCAAGCGTCCTGGCTGAGAGGGCAGCACAGGGCCAACCAGCCAGCTGGTCAAGGCCCCGTCGAGCTGTCTTTGTTGCGTTCTCACAGAGCCGTCTTTGTCCAGGCCCATGTCTCTGCTCTGCCTGCGCTCCACACACACATACACACACCGCAGCAGTGTTCAGTCTCCTTTCACATTATTGTTGAAGTGCTGGGCATGTTTTTCAGGCTTGGAGCTCCTGGGTTTGCTGGGCAGGAGGATTATAGCCAGAATGCTGATGATGTGCACATAAAAGTACACTGACCTGAGAAAGAGACAGAGAGGTAGAGGGAATGATCCTCATATAATGACACATTTAATAATACTTGACTTCACACAGACCAACAGAGAACTGAAATGAACTGATTCATATGCTAAGAGAACAGCATTTTACTGAATACTGTTTAGCTTTCACTTTTATTAGCAACGTTAGCATTATTAAAGATGTTCTAGTTTTAGACGTTCGAGTCTCTGATCAGCGTTAAAGGGTAATTTCACTGATATTTTCATGAGTTCTGCATTATTAAATGGTTAAAATGTAAAGACAGTCATTCAGAGCGGTTTGATGTGAAATACTTTGTTCTACAGAAACTTGCCAAGTCAGAATTGCTCATAGTAGTAGTGATAGTAACCAGATGTCCAAAGGGTTTAATGTCTCTAAAAGCTCCCTCATAGAAAGCTAATACATTGAAATGGTTGCGTATGCTGGGTGATGCTGAGTCGTTGTTTTCTGATAGTTTTAAGACAACGTTTTGGTCTAAAATGTGTTTTTTAATCCATTCACGGCAGAGGGGTACATGCAGGGTGCTGTAAGGCAAAGAGGTCCCAAAGGAACCAATTTTACCATTATTAACCACAACATACAACTCAGAAGACATATAGGTTCACTGGTGGTTCAAGTGGTTTACTAAACAAAATGGCTATATTTGTGTAGATGTAACACCTGGGTCCTATCACCACCACTGTTAAGAAATCAGAGAGGGTAAGTTTCTCTACAATGAACCACATCACATCACAACACTCTGAAACACTTTGTTTACATGTCAAAGGTCTAAATACGCAGATTTGCTCCTGGTGTGTTCATCAGCCTGTGATGATTGGGAGGACGCAAGGGTCAGCAGGACTGATCTCTTGCCTGTAATACTCCAGCGTAGGCTCCATGGCTAGCAGTGTGAAGGGCACAACAGTGTAACAGATGGCCAAGTGCGTGGCCAGCCATGTCACCACGTCATAGGCAAACTTCACGGTGGGGGAGCCCAAAAAGTACTGGCGGAAATTCCTGCGCACCTGGTCATGAAACAGAAGAAACATGAGCAGGGAGGAAGCATGCATGACAGGACAAAAGGAAAGCTGATTAGTGGTACTTTGGTCTGTTTCAACAAGAAAATGTGTTTGTATACATTTGAACACCTCTGGTCTAATGACTTGTTTTGTTGATTTTCTAAATGAAAATAAGTGAACACATCCTCTACAGAGATTTATTTGAGTTTAATATGCAGAAAAAATATATAATATATGTGCCTTAGCTAAAAGCCAGACTGTCTGTTTTTTTCCCACACAATTTGTTAATCCAAACAAACAGTAACTTTGCATTAAAATGTGCAGAAGCCAATAAAAACACCTTGTAGCTCCCCATTGCTGGTGTACAGTTAGAGACTGCAGCTCATTTGTTGATGCACAATTTGTGTTAGCCATCCTTTAGTCCTTCTCTGTGTTTCTGACCACAGTGTGGCCTCTGGAAGGATATTTTAGGTTGCTGGTCCACTCTCCACCTAGCAGTGACACTTTTGTCCTTGCAACCTCTCTGCTCTGATACACTCACAGCAGCACCACACACACTACCATAGATGGTATCATGTCAGTGTCACTACTGTGCTAAAAATGATCCACCACCCAAATAATATCTGATCAACAGCAGCCCTCTGGTCAGAAACTGACCAATAATGAACGGGGTAGAGAGACTAATAAACATGTGGATCAACAGATGAGCTACAGTCTGTAAATGTACACCCATAAAGTGGAGCTGTATGTTGGGTGAAGCTCATAGAAAGTGACCAGTGAATGGACAGACAAGGTTGGTGTTCCTAACAAAGTGGACAGTGATGGCATGTGTGTAGACTCACAGCACGAGCAGCGAGGGTGACGGGGATGCCTGTGAGGAAGGTGAAGTAGTATCCAGGGTAAACTCCGTGCCAAAGCGCTGACAGCACAAAAGTCAAAGGTGTCCGGTAATACGGCACCCGGTCGTAACACACACTGGACCGGATCACAGAGGACACAACAGGATCAAACAGAGCAAGAATACTGTCCCTCTCCCTGACAATACTGAGTAATTAAGCAACAACAGATCATCCTTAGCACCCATAATCCTTCATAAAATATTTATTTCATATTATTCACCTATATTATTCTTTTAATATTCTTGTCGGCAACCCTGTACCATTTTCTTAGCAGATACAATTTCCCCCCAAAAACGTCTCATGAAGCAGTACTTTATGTGCCATCTGCACATGTTAACTGATTGAATGCCTCATGTGTTGCTGGTAATAAAGAGCAGATTTGGTGCATACCTCTTCAGCCATACTCCAGTCTGAATGTTCCAGTTGTCGATGAATGCTTTGAAGCTGGTTGCTGTCTGTTCATAGAATAATAAAAGAAACAAATGGCTCAGTACAAGTTGGAGATTTTATCTGGCCCAGTGTTGACCAGAAAGGTAGCTTTACACATATCATGCACTAATGTATAAAACATCAGCCTTAGGAGGCATCTGTATGATTATTAAAGGAATAGTGTATTTCTTAAGGCTACACACATCTTTTGTCTTTTGTGACAACTGATTTAAACCTATGTAGACATCTGTAAAGCCTTAATCCAACCAGTGACACCTGCTGAGGGGAAATGACATCAAATGCTGTGCTTTTGTAAAGTGTTACAGAACACTCATTACTTCAAAATCTGCTTTTAACAGAAGCCAATGGGCAGTTGCTGAACACATTCCCACTGGCTCCTATTATAAATGTGCTTTGACTCAACAGGTTTTCTGTTCTTTTACTTACTGTACAAGGAAATTACTGTTCATGGTAATCATTTGCATGCTATTGATGTGGCAAATAGAGATTAGGTTGAAAAATCCTGGAGTGTTCCTTTAAGCGACACCAGAGATAAGCGTTTAAAGTGCTATGTGCCAACCAGTGACAGGAATACAGTACCAGGATTAATTGTGAGCTTGTATTTCTTTATGCTGAATGAACTTGCCTCAATCTCCCAGATGCGGATATTGGAGACGAGGTCCCAGGACACTTGGCCTTTCTCGTCCACCCCACTGATTCCGTACCCTGCTGCGTTATGGACAGCATCAGCTGAACAAAGGATCATCCAATATACTTGAATCAATGAACAGGTTTGTGCAAGGCAACAAGAAACACATAGTGGTGGTTCCCCCCTATAGTAGCTCACTTTATGGACCTTGCCAAGCATTCCTAACCCCCTTTCATACAAAACAAGCTACTACGTTGTTCAACTATATTGCAACTACAAGCACTTTCATTGTTTTCCACTAAAAGAGCCATTAAAATGACTAGGGCTGACACTGTCACACCACTTCCCTAACGATACCCTGGAATTAGCGTTGTTTACCACACAATAGGTTCAATGAAGACCAGTGAGTACTTTGTCTGGTGGGAACCCTACTCACAGAGAGTCCATGCAAAGTAGAACTTGGGTCGGGCCGCCTGGATGGCGATGAAACCATAGACCAGTTTCCTGAGAAATGAGGCCTGACTGAGGAACTCAGGGTCGACGGCATAGGTGGTGGGAAACGATTTTGTGATTGCGAAGAACCAGAACATGCAGCCGACACACACCAGCAGCTTCTGGCACACAGCTCGCTGAGATGGAGCAAAGGAAGGCATTAGTTTTACAGTACAAGTTGCTACGTTACCAAAAAGTGGCTTGATCTTCCGAGACAGCAGATGAATGAGGTCAAATTTTTGATGAATGGACTAGAGAGTGGCTGATATACTGTCCATGAAAACAGATGATCAGTCTGTAGTTGCACACACGTATAGCAGAACTACAAGTTCATGAAGTGACCAGTGAGTAGAAAGTATGCTGCAAAAATTATATCTTGGCAAGAAAAAAAAAAACATGATAACATAATAAATCCTATTGTGAGATTTATATAAGAATATTTTAAGAATGTTTAGCCCATTTCTAGATGGATTTGTACTTGTTTTAAAGCATTTTATGTGGTCAAAGTGTCTTAATCCACTGGCACTTAATTTTCAAGCATTATTTCTTGAAACAAGCAGATGGAGTGGCAGTGGAGTGAAACAATTTCTCTAGAGGAAATTACTTAAAAAGAAAAAAAAACTTTCAGAAACAAGTTGAATAATCTTATAATATTCTTTAAAAAATCTAATAATCAAAAACTTCAGATATATTATCTAGAATAAAGATCATTTTTTGCAGTGTATGGATTCTAAAGAAGTGGATGATTAGTGTAGATTACCTTCCTACATTATTAGCAATGTTTGTACTTCTTGTTTCTGTCCTTTTCATCTAGGTGCCACCTTAAATCTTTCTCCTGTATGCAGAAGCACTGTTCTGTGCTAGGCTGTTTCTGTGCTGCTCTGCGTGTCTTAGCCTGAGTGAACAGCCTTTTATGTGCGTGTGAATGGAGCCGTGAATCTCTCTTTGTGTCTCACCACAGGCGAAGGCTCCGAGAGCGCGTCCCAGCCGTTCTGCTCTGGGCTGCCCTCTTGTAGCCTCCTCAGCTTGCTCTGCACGTGCCGTCCCTCTATAAACTCTATGTAGTCCTTGTAGTTGCTGCACGGTCCTACCAGGATGCTCATGAAGTTCAGATTGTAGCTGAGGTACTCCAGCAGGGACGGTCTTGTGCTGTAGGGAGAAAACAGATGATATTTTATGTGAATAAGGTTGGTGAACTCTGACTTAAACAGACAAATTCAACACAGAGAGAGTAAATGCTGGGTGTGTTCAAAGTGAACTGAATGTGGATCATTTCACTCCAACTCAGCTACAGTCTTTGATGCAATTAATGGAGCCATGCAAAATTTCAAAGCTGTGGTCTAATTAGTTTTTAGTTATAAAGTTTGCACTACTAGGTTCTGAATTGTATCTTGCGCTAACTAGTGTTGTAGTACTCGAGTCCAGTCTTTGTCTTGGTCTTAACATAATTTGGTTTTGCTGCGATGTGGACTCGGAAATCGTTCTCAAGACCAGCTGAGTGCGATGTCTCTCTCTGTGGTAACTAGAAACTGAACTTTTTTCCTGTCAACAAGACCTTAAAACAGAATGAAACAGTTCTTTCTCTACAAGTTTAAATCAAATCTGTTTGCTGCAGTTTGAGGATCTAATTGATTCTTTCAATGATGGCTTAACTGGGTACTGTTTGTTTGTTGAGGTTCACTGCTTTGAAAATTCAAACATCCCCTGAGGGCAGACTGGAATGTTATTATTACTATGTTTTTATTTAATAATAAAAATGGATGCATGTTGTTTGGTTCATGTGCAGTTGACTGAGGAAGTTTTAGAGAAGAAAGACAGAGAATAATCTTACCATCAGTTTCCACAAGGTACAATGCAAAATTGGACTAAGACTATAATAAATTAATTATTAATATTATTTTAGCCTATTATATTTTACAAAATATATTATGGAATATGATATTATGTCTTAATTATACATCATGTATAATTCATGTACAATGAACTACAAACAAATTTCAGTTTTTTATTTTATTTTTCTATTCTGAAAAAATATTAATCTGGTCTCGGTCTTGTCTTGGTCACTCTTTGTGTCGGTCTTTACTCAGACTCGTCTACTACAAGAATATTAAATGCACTTCCTCTGTTAAGTTAACCTGTTTTGGCAATTATTTACATGAAACTAGTTTATTTAAATTAAATATTATCATTATTAGTGTATTTATACTCAGCTGATATTTCAGTTCAGTTAATTCATTCTGTACACAGCTAAGCTCAGTATTTAAGGCATAATTTGGCAAGAACCTAATTGGTCAAACTAATACTAATGCTAAATATTCACAACTAGAAAACCAACTGGAGTACAGCTCTGACATTTTGTATGATTGCATGAATTAAATCTTTTGCTTGATTTTTTTCATGGGAATCCATGACGTGTCTGGGCAGCTCTAGGTGTACTGGTACACAATGACCCTACATACACATGTGTATGTCTGTATTTTCTTTGTTTCTTGACCTTTTGCTGTATGTTTTCAGCAGTTTTCAGTCATGCTTTATACTTTTTCCTCATGGCCAGGTAAAATGAAAATCTTCTGCAAATCTGCAGATGGACACAGCACAGTCCATCCTTCTAAACTAAGCTCAAATTTGCTTGCGCAATTGGCTTCTCCTGTCCTTTTCTCTCCCATCAATGCACATGAACATTTGTAGAGAATCACAGTGTAAGCTTTGGAAAGTTACCTGGAAAATTCCCTCCCTTTATGAACCCACACTCGGCCTAATCTCTGCTTGAATATAAACATGCGCCATTGCTAAATGGACATTCCTCATGCTATTCCCCAAACAAGTGAAGGTATGGACGTTTAACTGGTCTGGCCTGACTCATACACACATGACCAAATGTGCTGGCCAATGTACACTCCACCCAGCTGCCTTAAAGAAACAGCTCAGTTCAAATGCACTCAGTTTTCCCCCCTTACCCTACACATAGCTGATCAGTCAAGACATGTTTTAGTCGAGTCAAACAAAAAATGGATTTAACTAAACAATAATAAACTACGTATAGCTTTCAAAGATTCAAAAATGTGCCTTTAAAAAGACACTGCAAATCAAACAAAGCAGCTGCTGGTGTTCTCAGTACAAAGGAGTGACCACCCCAAATTTTAGTCTTAGAAGCTTGGTTGCATTTTCTGCTTCTCATGATTGAAGTAATCCAAAACACATTCAATTATGTTGAGGTTGAAGTCTCCCAAAAAGAACAGGTAATTGTGTTCACAGAAAAAACTGAAAAAAATTGATATTATACTTAGCTGTTGTGGCTTCTGTATAAGTTCCTTTTAAGTATATATGTATTATGCATAAAACTGCATTTTTTTTGTTAGTAATGCATCCACGAATTGAGTTCAATCAGGTAACTGTAACAAGTCTTACTTACTTTTGTGGTTTAGACACTATGTGACACACTTTTATCTAGAAAAATGGACAAAAGTAGGTTACATAGTTAAAAATAGTGGCAGCATCCATCGTGAAGCCTGATTTTTCATTGAGATATTACTTTATAAGCAGTGTTCTTTATGCAGCTTCTAGTGTTGTTATATACCACATCTCCCTTCATTTCTGATCTTCTGATCTAGCAGTCACCTCCCTCTGACCTCTGCACTCTTTTCTACTGCGATTACCCAAAGCCAACAGGCAGAAGCAGAGTGATTAATAATCATAGCAGTAATCTTTATCAACTACAGTGTTTCATAACAGTAAGAAAATCAGAGCAGCGCCATATCTTTAGCTTAGAGATTGTGAGCCAACAATCAGTGATAAACTAGTTTGGCTTTATTACAATTGCACATGTTAGTCGGCATGAGTACTTGTTTTTACACTGTTGTATACTACTGCTGTGTAAAGGCGATGCAGTTGTTATATCTACTGCTGAGATTAAAACAAGACACTACATGCAGAAATTACATCAATAATTTTGAATATATATTGAACCTAAAACATGTCTTCCATTAAAATGTAATCATAAAATGTCAAAACTCCACAGAAATAGGTTTATTTCAGTATGTTTTGTCTATTAATGTCCACCCACGTCTAACTGTATTTTCAAAAGGTAGAAACATTACTAAAGGCTCAGCTCTGCTACACTTGTCACAATCATATCAGGTCATTAATCACTGAAAAGCTTGTTTCCTGTGGCTAGAATGTGTTTTATTTCATATGTACTAATAACAACATTCACACAAATGAGCACGTTTTCTAAGATCTCACTGGGTGAAGCAGTTCTGAGGCCAATTCTCAAACTTATTTCTAGAATACATGCATTCGTTACATTTTATATGTTCATTTTTAACCCTAATCTGAAGGATGTTACAGAAGGATTTCTTAATATATTGCACATAGCTGAATTTATACTAAATTTTGTTCTATAAATTACCTAAAAAATGTTTACAGTACAGTATAGTGCTTTTTTGACTAAACAATAAAACACTGAAATTCTAGCAATCTGTTCTGTAAAGACTGTTTTAATTGTAACATCATCCAAAGACTACATGTTTTGTTTTTAAAATATGCAAATGTATGCATATTTGATTGTGTAACTAGTTGTACAATTAAATGAACACTTGGGAAAACTTTAAATACAAAAAAATACTTGCAGGAATATCAGTAATTAACTGGCATATATTCACTCATTGATATCTACTACTTAAAAAATACCTGTTTTACCTGTAGTGTCTCGCCTTAAGCAACTTTGTTAGTAGATAGAGGTCAACAAGTATACTGTACATACGCTACTGTCAGACGTCTCTGCTCTGGGGTGAGCTCCTCTTGCTTGCGACACATACCTGCAAACATACACAGAACTGAGTATATCAACCAACCAAGCAACCAGTGATATACTTCAATTAAATCATGCTTTCCTTTATAGTCTCTCAGTTTGTATGCATTCTGTCAGTGTTTCTTGAAGCTCACTGCCCTGTACTTTTTAGTGTTTTCCCTTCTCCCAACACACCTGATCCAGCACATGTGCAGGGCAGTGGGCCCCCAGGACCAGGGTTGAGAAACACTACATTATGTGATAATCACTCATACTTATATGCTTATAAGTGTTCCTTACCATCATGAACCTGAAAGGCTAGAGTGGTGATCTTCTGCGTTATCATCATCAGTGGGCTACAGAATAAAAAAATGCATAAAGGACATGTGAAAACAGGAATCAGATGCTTTTTAGTCACACTGGGTATTCCAGTAGGTCTAAGAATTTCAGCAATTACATAAGTTCATGCTCTGATGGGCTTGGCACTTCCTCTCTGAAACCAAAGGAATGAAGCTGGATGCTTTACAATCAGTACAACCTTTCTAGCAGTAAAGTGCAGAAACAAATTATCCAGCATTACCCTTCTCAAAGTAAATACACTGTTCATTACTATTTATCCAATAACTGCATGAATAATGACTGCTCTTTTTGGACAGGAGGAATCACAGATGGCTTCATGGGCCGAATTCCCAGACGTGGATTAAGAATAGTCTTGGACTAAATTGCAATGCCAAGAGTGATTTGCTGTTGAAAATCCTTCTTAGTCTGGGCTTAAGCTTAATCTAGGGCTGAGAAACCAACCAGACAGAGTAAGAAAAGTACACAAATGAAAGTCAAGTTTCTAGCCAAAGAAACAGTTCAGAAAAGAATCTTATCCCACAATATATGACATCATTAAAAGCATTTTCATTAGGTTATTAAGTTACAGCTACAACACCCTTAAATTAAACCTCAGTTATACAAGCGGTGGAGTTCCGTTAACAAGAACACCAATGTAGAATAATGGGAATATAATTATTTGCTGAGTCATTTGCTTTCCCACCCACTGTTTCATATGGTTTTCTAATTAGAATGCTTTACATTCTTAGTTCTGCTGCCAAATGCTTTTCTATCAAAGCACTGCTGTGGCTAGTTTTATAGCACTTTGATTAAATTAGGCCAGTGGCTTGACACTGTGAGATGGGGAACAATAGGAGAACACCCAACGCTATTCTCCTGTGACGGCCCCATTCCTGGGCTGCCTCGGATGGGTGTAGCTGTGATTGCTGGCTCCATGTTTGTCCAGCAGATAGAACACCCTCTGTTTGGCCGACATACTGCTGACTTTGTGCAGGCTCTGCGCGGACCACTCATGTGACGAGAGCTGTATTAGATGCGAGATGGCATTGGCAAGGGACGAAAGTTACAAAGAGAAAACTGACCAGCGAAATAGGGCAGTCAGCCAGAGCCTGCACATCCAGGCTTTGCTAAACACCGTTTCCCTCCGAAGTTCTCCTTAACGTACTCAAACACTGAGTTCTGCTGCTAGTACTGAAGCTCAACCATCAGCATGTTTGCAAAAGCTTGTTTGAATGGGGCTGGTCCAGTTGGCATGCGCAGGCTGGCTATGGACTCTCTCCGGACTGAAAGAGAGAAGCTGCGAGATTGGCAGGGGAAAGAAGAGAGCCATGAATGGAACATCAGACTGTATCAAACTGGCTGAGTTTTGCAGCAGCATAATGAGATTCAGCTGATATGACCCACTCACCCCCACCCCTCCCTGCTGGAAAGCAGCCCTGCAGCCTGTCTGAGCCAAACTCGCCCAGCAAGGACAACCAAACAGGCAGGTGATGCAGCCAGCCGCACATTATCTCACACCTTTGTTTGCCAAAGGGTGTGTTGCAAACTTTCGGTGAAAGAGAACTAACAGGATCAGCAGATAAGCAGCAAAATCTGCCCCAAAGGAGTGGCCAGATTAACAGACTGTGTGGGTGGTTGAAAGGTAGATATGGCTAAGAAAAGCAATGCAAGTCAGACTAGATGCCGTGATGTCGCAGAATTAAAGTTAACATGTCTTGTAACAGTTAACAGTGTTCCTGGACCTCATTTACAAGCACTGTTTGTCATTTATCATGTACTGTCTGGCATTCCTTGAAGACTCACCCTGAGAAGTCTGTAGACAGGATGCCGTAGCTGAAGATGAAGACCCTGCTGATCTGGCACGCTGTGAGGTAGCCCACTGCCACAACCATAGAATACCTATGTTAAAGGATACTGAACATTAGCATGACTTTCTCGACAACAAAGCATACTTTGAAACTCTGAAGAGGTAGTTCAACCAGTCAAACGTAAAGGGTCAGGTTCCCAGGCAGGTATTACGCTTACTCTTAAACTATGTTTTCCTTTCACTGGAGAATCTCCATTTAAATGCTCTGTAGTCAAGGACTAGGCTTAATGCCTGTCTGGGAAACCGGCCTAAGGTGTCCAACAATAGTGAACGAAAGCAACATTAGCACAGTCATTGTTAGCCACAATGAATCATCCGTTGGTTTCATTAATAAACTAAGCAAGACTGGCTAGCAAATGATGGTCAGTTTTTACTGCAAGGGGAATTTTTTTATTCAGAAGGAGATCATAATAAACGGACTTGTTGGAATAATGTTCTTGTACTCAAATAATATGTTAGGAGTAAAGAACATTAGTCTTAAGTAAAATGTTCTCAAATTTAAAACAAGAAATGGTTCAAAACTCTACATACCACTGTTCACCCAATGCTATAAACCTTTTTTTTGCATTCTGTTACAAGTGGAGCTTAATAAACCACCCATATGCCTACATTCCATAAAAAGCACCCACACACAGCAGAACTAGTCCATCAGGCACGCCTGGTTGTACCTGACTATGGTAACAGTGGACACCCACCTATCCTCAGTGCCAAAACGGTGACGCAGTCAGAATCACTTCAGCACATAGTGCACTGTGGCTAACAATGAATGAATGAATTTTTCCAGTTAGGTTTTATTCACAATCTCTTAACTGCAACACAAGGCCTGTATCATGCATGTAAAAAATGACCAGTAAGAGTGTCCAGACTGGCTTACCAGTGAACATTGTGAACGCTCGCTTTGCACAGGATTATGTAGCAACCCAGCGTCAGGATGAAGATATGTGATGCATACCTAAAGGAGAAAATTGCAAGATCAATCAGTGCACTGCAGAGGCACCGGTTTCAGGTGATCAGCACCTGTGGGTAGGTGAAACGGGCGGGACAGGTGCAGTAGGTTACATTCTTTCGTTGTGCTGTGGAAAACTGTGGGAGTTGCCGCGCGTCCGAAAGTGCAAAGTTACAGTCGAGCCCTGCTGAAACTACATAAGCTGCAGTCAAGTTCTGTTTACGGTCTCTTGGGACTCGTGACAGAAGTCGAGTCCTTAACAACACATGACAGATTACAGAACCCTCATACAGAAAGACACAGTGTATAGGAAGTAAGTAAGTCAGCTGTACAAATTATTTCATACATCAATGCAAGTTGGCTGAGGAAGACTAAAGTCCTACAGCAAAGCACTGAGAACACAACAGTGAGGCGTGAGAGGGTGCAACCACCACCACACCCGTCCTCCTTACCATCCAAAGCAGAAGATGACGAATGATACCCCCAAAAAGGTGGTGACAGCGTGGCGCAATGCTGGACTGACCCGCTGAGGGCGTAAGCTCCGGCGGAACCAGAAAGCAGCAGCGAGGCCAACTGCCTGGCAAATTATGAAGTTCACCTGCGGAGGAGAGACGGAGTAAAGGGCCAAGAACCACTCAGACACGGTGCTGAGTCTCATAGGGTCACACCAAGTAGCAATACATCAATAGTTTGGCCATATGTACAGGGGAATTCCACCAATTTCTCAAAATCTTTGCACAATTGAATCATTAAGATGTAAACAAAGTCATCTAGCGATTCTGATGTAAAATGACACAAAGGATTCAGATTTATTTACAGTGGTGGTGATGGGAACCAGAGGTCACACTGTATAACATTTTTAATTTTGAATCAAAATGACCAATGGTCATATGTGTCTCCTGAGTTTTTAAATAGAATTTCTTTTGGGAATATTTTGCGTTACAATGCCCTGCATGTTATATCCCCAGATATAGATATATAAGGATGTTCTTAGGCCAAAAGCTTCTCAGAACTATCGTAAAAGAGTGTCCCAGGCTTCAGGCAGCATATTCAAAACCATTCCATGTAATAACTTCGGTGAGGGAGTTTTTAGAGGCATTAAATGCTTCAGATGTCTGGTTCCTATCACTCCCACTGTGAAAAACTCTGACTCAGTAACTTTGTCTTGAACAGAGCATTTCACATTGGAGCACTCTAAATGATTTTGTTTACATTTTAATCATGAAATATGAAATTTTGAAATATTGGTGGAATTCCCCTTTTAAACAAATCAGAAGGCAACAAGGACTGTTCAGTCATGGCACTGCTCCTAATACACACCAAGCAGCAATGCAACTAAAGTGTTCTCAGATCTGAAGGGTGTGTAGCTTAAAGTTTCTCACACGGTTACAGAAAGCAGCAATGTGGCTAAACTTACTCAGTCACTCAAATCTGAGAGGAGAAGAGCTTTGAAAGTTGACTGCTGGAAAGAATCATGATGAATTTGATGTCCTCAGTGTTGAAGAAATGCTGCTAAGTCGTAGGGTGAAAACTGCTCTGTCAACCTTTAAACTAAACCCACATTTCTAATAAAACTGGGCTCATAATAAGCAGGAGTTGGCTTGAAGTTTTAAGGCTCAGCTGATGAAAAAAACAGCAGTTGGAAATCTCTGGACTGCTCAGTGTCACTGCTGAGAGTGACTCGAAATAGCTCTCTGTCTGGTCCCGGTGTCTTCTTGGTCCTACCTGATCCAGGGGGACTCCGGTGAGGTCGCTGAGAGGCCAGAGCCATGTGCAGCCCGTGGTGGTGAAGCCGTCCGACCGCTCCTCCATTCCGCATCCACACTGTCCCTCCTTCCCTCACCAGCAGCCCGACTCAACGACCTGTTGCTCGGATAGACTCTCAGTGCCGAACCGCGAGGAGCAGCAGCATCTTCCCGGTGGTCTTCAGCACTCTCACACACTGATTTACACTCACACACACGCTCCCCTCTACACAAATCAGCACTTCTACAAGTTGTATCTGCTTTATCGAGGCGGGGCGCAGGAGTGGCAACGCGCTGACACACTGCCGTTCAGTGGAGCTTTGAGCCTCGCCCACCAAGGCCCTTCCGCGCGCTATATTTGCCCCTCCCCACAGATTATATGTTAGGTAAACGCCTCCCATCCCAGTGGTACTGTTCATGTTTACATGCAGCCTGATAATCCGTTAATAATCCGACTAATAGCTCAATCGGAATAGAATACGTCCATGTTTACACCTCAATCGGAATAGACTAGTCCGACCGAGGCTATTCGGAATACAATATTTATCACATTGAACGAAGTGGGAAATTCTGTAAATAATCCGTTAAAGATAAGAATAATAACCATGTAAACGCCTGTATCTGATTAACGTTACACTGCCACCTGTAAAGGGTAAGTACGTTCTGCGCATGTTCGTCGCGTCATAGCGAAAGTTTATTATGTTCTCCATGGCGGGAGCAGAAACTGGTCTGCAGAGGAGACGAAGTTTATGTTGTGAATGTTAAAAGACGGCAGTCAGACGGGCGTCCAGCTTATATACCTCAGAACACGACGTCTTCCTCTCATCCCTTCTTTAATAAGCACATGTGAAGTACATTTTCCTGAAGCTGCCATAATTTTAAAGCAATTAAAAACACAGGCGCGCCAGCTGAAACTCAGGTAGCACACTGCGGCTCATCTCACTGGACTCACGCGCTGCTCGCTGTCATGGTAACGTCTACACTAAGTGGTACTTTACGCATGCGCGTAATTTTGGGCCGGATTCGTTGTGGTGTGCATGTAAATGGAGATTTTCCGTCAGGTTGTTGACTAGAGTGAGCAGATAAACGCCTCCGTCTTAAAGTTTAATCGGAATGTATTCAAACGGACTGGCAAAAATCTTTGCGTGTGAACATAGCCAGTAATGTCTAAAGTCAACACTTTAACTTTAGACCCATACCTTGCACAATGTAAAGGTTACAGGTATGACTGTGTGTGTGTGTGTGTGTGTGTATGAGTGAGTGATTTTTTTGTATTTTATTCTATTCTATTTTATATTTATTTATTTTATTCATTACATGTAAATGTCTGTCTGATACTGTGCACTGTGAGCTCCTGTAACCAAAACCAAATTCCTTGTATGTGTAAGCATACCTGGCCTATAAAGCTTGATTCTGATTCTGATTCTGATTCTAATGTCGCTCCTCTGAGCGGTGGCCCCGCCCATTGTAGCTATGCCGTGTGTCTATTGGCCCCGCCCACTGCCCCTCGTGCTGCTGGCCTCGCTCAGCATTGAAATAAACTCTTCCTCACATTCTATTGGCCCCGCCCTCTGTACCACTAATGGTTACTGGAGCGCCTATGTGTTTTGGCCCCGCCCAACAGGCGCCACCATTCTTTCTTATGATGTTAGGCCACACCCACTATAGCGTCTGTCCAAGAACTGTCATTGCGCCTGTCTAACTTGAGTTCGGTTATACATAAATATGTACACTCCTAAAAAAGGGCCAAACCCAAAATTGCAAAAATATTAAGCTTTTAATGGTCGTAACAACAATAATAATATTGTTATAATATTAATAACAAATATGAATAATAATAACAAATCACCATTGGGGGACAAAGCTGGAAGCATGAAAATTCACTTACATAGTCTTCCTGTACGCAAAAGTAGAATCATAAGAAGATTTAATTGTTTGATATAAAACTCAGATGTCTGGTTTTAAAAAAAAATCCAAAATATCTTCTGGCTTGTTTTTTTTCTGAAATGATTAGTCGTTATTTGGTAATCTGCCACACCTGATGCAGCCTATTTCAAGCCTGAAAGCAAGATCCTAAATAGAGCCAACAGTGACAGATATCTACAGGTAGAGCTCTATGAAGGCTTGTGAGTCCCAAAGCAAACAAGTGAGAAAATCATTAAAAAAAGCAAAATATTATGCAGTTATATTATGTTGTGCATATATTATATTATGCATATATTATGTTGCTGTCAGGAACCACATAGCCAAATGCATCAGGCCAAATGCAGCTATTCTGAAATTTACAAGACCCTAAAGGCACAGCAAATCCATATTTCACTATCAGCTATTAGGAGAATAGGTCATCACTTTGAAACAACAGGTGATGTTGCCAGAAAGAAAGGATCTGAAAAGCCCAAAGCCTCTTCAAACGGAGATGACCACCTGCTGAAATTCACAGTTCTTAATGCTTTGGAGTAGAGGAGGAAATTGCAGGAAGGCTTGTTTCCCACAGTTGAGAAGTTGTTTTCTAAAGAGAAATGATCACATGTTATTTTTCAACAAGACAGTGGTCCTGCTCACACTGCAAAGACCACCAAGAAGTGGCTGGAGAACAGGATCAAGCTCTTGTTTTGGCCTGCTGAGCATTCAGATTTGAGCCCTATTGAGAATATTTCTCACATTAAACTGGGAAACATTTTATAACTACTCATCAACTGTTTGAAGCCATTAACAATGATTGGAGCAACATTGACTCTTTTTTCTGTAAAAAGCTGTCCGCAAGTTTACCCACAAGACTTCATCAGTTAAGGAAATCTTAAACAAATACTTTATCCATTTGTTTAATTCTTGCTAGTTTACTGACCATTTATTTGCTGTTAAGATCATTAAAAGCTTAATATTTTGCAATTTTAGGTTTGGCCCATTTTTTAAAATCAAATTATATATATTTTAAATCTAAATTTCCGTTCACAGTCTAAACTGTATCACAGGTGAAGAATTTTAATATTCTGATTTTAACAAACCTCTAATTCAGAACCTTGCTCTGTGTTTTAGAGCATCTTCTAAAATAAAAAAATGAGCAGTGATTTTTTTTTTAAATTGCATAACACGTTTAGTGATAATGACCTGTCCAGGGTGTATCCTGCCTTCCACTCAGTGACAGCTGGTATAGGCTCCAGCTCCCCTCACGACCCAGAAGGATAAGCGGCTTAGACGATGTGTGTGTGTGTGTGTGTTTAGTGATAATAATATATATGTAATAAATAAAACACACACAAATTTGAGGCAATTTTTGTGAACGTTGCAAAAATGGCACCATGGGTGTTAAAGCTCCCCACTCTTTAACATTATTCACACAATGGCCCCTTTCTCTCCATTTTTCTTTTCCGTATAGGTTTGATCAGTGCTGTCTTATCATATCTATATGTTCACATTTCAAAACAAAGAAAAAGACAAATATTATTTTACAGCCAGTCCAAGGTTGAAAAAAGGAAAAAAAAGAAAAATAGCTGGAGAGCCATTTTCCGCTTCTGTTTTCTGTTTACTTTGCCCTTTTGTTAAAATCTTAAAAAAGTATATTTTGTAACCTTTAAAGAATAATTCCACCCATTTTTCAAAATACCTAAGTTGTAAACAACTTAATTCAGTCATTCGTGCTCCCTCACAGAACATGAAACGATTAGAACTTCACTGCCTGATGTCTGAGACATTGTTTTATAATGGTTTTAGACTCAAACACATGTGTAAAGTCCATTCATGGTGGTGAGATACCTGCAGGGTTTTGTAAGACAAAATAAACTTTTTTCCTCTCCAGATTTACCTCAGGTTTTGCTCTACCACGCCCTGCATGTAGGCTACCTTTCTACCCTGAATGCATTTTAAAATGACCTATTACGCCAAAACCTCCATCAGGCAGCACATTTAGAACCATTTCATGTAATAACTCTGTGAGGGAGTTATGCAGAAATCTTTTGAGAAATGGTAGGAATTCTCCTTTAAAATCAAAATCCACTCCACAAGAAAAGAAAAAAAACATTGTGGTTATTGTTTTCAGAAGCTTCCTAAAAATGTTTCATCAATGATATCAGTGCTCAGGTCTCTGAGGGTTTAAGCTCTGACGCTGTATAGGCTGTAAAGCTGCTCTTTAGGATCTCTGCTGTGAACTGATAACCAGTTTTTATGTATTTGTCTTCACTTCTTTCAGTTCAGAAACAGATCATCCCTAAAAACAACAGAAGCTCTCTGTACTACATTGTTCTGCTGTTGTTTTAGCACGGAGCACCACCTGCAGGCCGCCAGTCACAATAACCCGAGAGCTCTAATACTGTGCAGTAAAACCTCTATTAGTTTGGATAATAAATTAATCCACACAGAAATGAGATTCTACTATCATGAGTGAAGCATTTCGAATGATGGACATGATTTTATAACATCCTAAGAAATTATCTAAAAATTATACATTTTTACATACAAATGCAGTTCTATCAAAATGGTCAATGACATGTTCTGTTGATGTTCTAAGTGTAAATAAGTCAACACATCCTCTACAGAGAACACACTTCTGCACATATCAGTGCAAAATGAATGTTTATTTGGTGAACTGAACACACTGGGGGAAAAAATAAAACACATAATATGGCCTGTGCAAAAGTTATGGCACATGTTAGAACGTTACACTCGCTAAAATTGCAGAAAAATGTTATATTCAACTGTATTCTCTGTTGATGATGTGTTACCTTATTTTCAGAAAACATGTTCTTTGACTAGGGTGTTCAAACTTCTGCAAACCATTGTATAATAAACAAGCACCATAACAATAAGGCGGTGCAAGGTAAACCATAATTTAAATAGAAATTGATATCTGAAACAAAAGAAACAACTCTTCATAACACAAAGGCATATATCACCACAGATCCAGGTATCAAAGCTTTCAGAGGTCACTACAGAGGTTACATGGACATCCTAATAAAAAAGAAGAAAAGGTCATAAGGTTACTTTTAGATTGGCTAACGAAATTATGAGAAACTCAGCTAAGCTATACATGAACACAGTCACCTCACACATTACATACTGTTTGACAAATTGGGGAAAAGTTGGTAAAACTACACTGAAGTAACCTGAAAAACCACACACTTAAAAAAGATGGTTCTTCAAGGGTTCTTTAGTAAAGGCAGTGGTTCTGTTTAGAACCATGCGTTCTCTATAACCATTTCATGCATAAATATTTCTTTGCATGGTGAAATCATTCTTCAGACTGATAGACAGTGTGTTGTATATGGTTCTGTATGGAACTATTTTGAAAATGGTTCTATGTAGCACCAAAAAGGGTTCTTCCACTGTTATAAGCCTTAAATTGTAACAATAGATTCTTGAAGAAGATTGATGAAGACTTTTTTAAGTGTGTATACAAACAAACTTCTAAAGTGGCAGAAGTACTGCAGTTACCCGCATTGTCTTCGACTTTAAGGAAGCATAACAAATAAACTATATATAGTTTTAAATGGGTGAGGAGAAGTACTATGCGAAATTTTGTGTGTGTGTATACACACACACACACACAAATTTCACATAGTACTTCTCCTCACCCATTTAAAACCTTTTACACTGTGAACAAATGCTTATGAGGCTGCCACATAAGTAGATGGTGTTCTTGCCTTTAGATGCTTTCAGCCAAACAACATTTGTAATGAAACAATACATGGATGGAATTCAGCACCACTAATGGAGGAAATATGTCTCATGCTTATAGTTCAGTTAGGTCAGTTAAAAAGATTGATGATTGATAATTGATAGGTTTGTGCACATTAGAATCTCCACTGGGTTGTTTTAACTTCTTACAGACCATCTAGCACATTGCCTTCATGTTTTGTTTCTTTTCCCTGACAGTCTTGTCTCTTACAGACGAATTCCATCAATGTTTCTAAACTTCTCCATACTTTAAAGGGTTAAGATGTAAACATAGTCATTCAGAGTGGTTTGTTGTGAACGTGCTGTTCTAGAGAAACATACAGTCAGAACTGTTCACAATGGTGGTGACAGGAATCAGGCATCTGAAGCATTTAGTGCCTCTAAAAGCTCCCTAACTGGAGGTTTTAAATGACAAACACATGGCGTGACGCCTGAGACAGGTTGTTCAGGTTTTGGCCTGAATCTTTTTTATATTTTTTATATACCTTCACTGTGGAGGGGCACATGCTGGGCAGTGTAAAGCAAAGCAGTTATAAGTATTATATGCTATAACGTGCATTTCTACCGATCTTGATTGTATCAGCTATACATTGTCTTATCTTATGATTGTTAGTGTACTCTGTTAGACGTGCAGCTGTGCTATTGTGCATAGTGTTATTTTAATATTTATTTATTTTTTTGTTTTATAATAATTAGTACTTTTAAATGCAAGCTATTTAACATCTAGTCAAGGACTAGTTGGAGCTGGGCTAACTCTGGCTCATTTACAGTACTTTTGATACTGTTTACTAATGTACATGACAAATATTTTACTAAAATATAAAAACCTTATTTAAATAATAAATAAGTAATAAAACCATAAACAAAACCGCATAAATAATATTCATCCACTTGCATGCTACTCTCAAGTGACGTAACAGCGCATGCGCTCCTCTTGTCCAATCGGAGGATCGGCCACTGCGTGTTCGCTCCCTGATTGGTGCAACTGACACCGACCGCATTGTTTTTACATGAGGGGCGTGGCTTTGCTCAGCGAGAAGGACCAATCCGCGCGCGTATGCAAATTTGGTTCAAAAATATTCGCGGGAATTCTGAGTTTCGCGCGAGCTCCTTTCGCGGGTAAAACTGCATCCCCCCTCATTCATTGTCAGCTTCCTGGAGCCATTTTCCAGCGAGCGGCGCAGCAGTTCGACTCCGTTTTTAAATCCAAACCATCTGCGCTTTAGTGGGACTAATATAATCCCAAACGTGGCCAAATCGATAGTTAAGAGTCTCATCTTTTATTTCAGACCGATATTGATGACATAAACGCGGCGTGTAGGTACAAAAAAAGCCTTCAAATCAAGGAGGGACAAAAGGACGGCCCCCGTACTCGAGTCCACGACGATGAGAAGAGGGATCTCATCAGCCCCGGAGAAAGTCATAATCGCAGGGGTTGGTGGCTCTTCGCTGGACAAAAACGCTGTTTTGACGGCCTTGTCTGATCGCCTGACCTCTCATCTCCCCACCACAGCTTATATCCAAATCATAACCCCGCCGCCGGGCATTTCTCAGACCTCCACCGTGTGTCTGTCCGATCCTCCGGCGGCCAGTTTGTACACAACCCCGCACGGGAACAACGGAGCCGGACCCACGACCTGCCCTAGGACGCCCTCCGGTAAAAATAACAGCAATAAAACAGAATAAAAACTCACTTTCTGAGCTCGGCCTATTTTAAAAACACCGAATGCTAAAGCTAAGTGTTTGCTAGCAGCGTAGCAGAGCGTTCGTTTGTTTTACGTCAGGTTTGCCTCCCTTAAACTCGATATCTTAGCCTTACAGCACCCCTTCAAACTTACTCAACTTCAGTTTTCCAACTAAGAAAGTTTGAAAGTCTCTTTTAAAGACGTCTCACTGACACGCATTGTGTGTTGCTGCCATATGAGGGGTAATATGTAAATGGAGAAATGTGGCAGTGGCTTCTTGGAGGTTTTTACTTTGGTCCTGGCTCTAAAATGAGCGTATGTCGTGTGTTTGTGTTTTCATGGCTGTGAAGGAGCCCCAGGCCTCCACTTCTTGTTATTCAGAGGGGGAAGGGTGCAGAGTTGGGAAAACGGATCTGCTTTTCTGTGGTGTTTTTCTTTGCTAGTGGAGCTAATCTCCTTAAAGGGCTTCCATCCCTTACCTTCCTCACTGCTGACCAGGCTTCATATTCTGGCCTGTTTTTGTGGCTTCATGTTTATTTTGAGCAGCAGAGTGGAGGTAAGTGCACTCAAGGGAGGCAGTTTAGGGAATCCTCAATTTTGTGTTTAAGGAATGCCACTTACTAGCAACGTTCAGCTTCTGAAAATAACAAAACCCTGTAATTTCAGAGGTAGGAGAATCTTAAACTGTCCTGGAATAACAGCATTGTTTTCTTCAATAACAGGAACTCACAGAGAAGTAAAGGTAGCAATCAAAAAACTTGCATGAAAGTGTCACTTCCAGAAAAACATATATAGCTCCATTTAAAATGGCATCTTTTGGAATATTTTTGTGAACCTTTGGGTCTAAAAATATGCTAAAGCTCTAAAAAAAGACTTGAGCAAGTGCTGCCTCAACAGAACTATAATATACTCTTAAGGATATAAATAGTGAAAGTAAATTCCTCACATATGGGAAGTGAATGCTGCTTGAAAATATTCAGAAATTAATTGTAATTGTACTGGAATGCACAGATCTCTAAGTACAGACAAAAGCTCAGGCAGAATTCAGGCTTCAAAATGGCTGCTACTACTTTTCTAAGCTATACAACATATATTTTTATCCATTTTTATAGATGACAGCATGTCATACTGTGTCAAACCACACATTCAAGTCTATAAGATTGCTTAACGTGTGATTTGAGGCAAGTATGTCATTTTAAACATGTAGTTTATACAGATCTAATTGGTGGAGTATAAGCTTCCATGGCTTGCTAGCACAATTAGCATCCTGGCTCCAGTGCAAACTAAATGAGTTTGGACACCATGGTTGGCAGCTGGATTTTCCAGATATTACAGGGTTTGTATACTGTTGACTTCAGTGTTAAAATATTTATAGGCTTGATAAGGTTTAGAGCAGTCTCTGCATAAATACAGATGACACTTTGGAAAGATCACCAGAAACCAGGGCCAGACTTTGGATAAAGACACATTGATCAGTGGATCTGCTTTTCCCAATCCATTTCCTGAGCACAGTATGTTTTTGTTTTCCCTGCACCGATCCCGCCAACACAGCGCATGAGAGGCTTAATGATTAATTGATCAGTTGAATCAAGTACGTTGGAGCAGGAATAAATGTTGGACTGCAAGGCCAGTGGTAAAACGGGGTCGTGGCAACTTGTTGGTGGTATGTTTGCAGAAGTCATGTGTCCATAATAATGTAGTTATAACTTCAGTCCTGAATTCCTCTGCACTGTTTTTTTCCTCTGCTTGATGTCTAGTTCAGCTCATGAAGGACTTGGTAATTAAGCTTGTTGTACATTTAACTGTTTTGCTGAATGAAACTGATATGAAGCTGATCACATGAAACTGATACCCACTGCATAATTATTAATCTAGAAATTGTCGCTTCATTGATTTCTAGAGAACTGTTTTAACCCTTGCTTACAAATATTTCAGCGGACACGATGCATTCGGCTCTGCTATTAGATGTCAACCTGAACGGTGTTCTCTCATCTCACACCTAGTTCTATTACATTCATAATTGCAGCTGGATAAAGTGGATTAGGGTTGGAGAAACTGTATGACTGTAGTATAGTTGGCCATCCCCTGTCTAGTCACTGCTTTATGTACTTCACACTGTGTATACAATGAATTAGGGGCCACGTATGTTGTCTTTGCTCAGGCTGTGCTCTTATTGTGTTTGAAACGGTTTCCACAGGCAAAGAGACGCTTGGCCTTGGATGATGCTGACCACTTGTATACGACTGAAGTAGCCAAAACACCCAAGACTCAAAATGGAGCACCGCTAGCTGTGCTGAAGGGCAACAAAAGTAAGAAATGGATTAAAATACGTAATACGGTTATACAGCGAATTGTTGTATTTTTTAGTTTAATTTGGATATTGAGTGTTTGTTAAAGTTTACTGACTGACGTGTTGCCCCAAGCGCATTATGACCAGTCTTTTTCCCACTTATGAATCTGTCCACGTAGCTCCAAAGTCTCCATCAGAGAAAACACGCTATGACACTTCTCTGGGCCTCCTGACTAAGAAGTTTGTGCAGCTGTTAGGCCAGTCTTCTGACGGAGTGGTAGACCTGAACCAAGCAGCTGAAGTCCTCAATGTCCAGAAGAGGCGGCTCTACGATATTACCAATGTGCTGGAGGGGGTTCATCTAATCAAGAAGAAATCGAAGAACAATATACAATGGATGTATGTACTATTTTAATTTTATTTTGTGTATTTTTTTAAGGAAAGCATTGAAGAGTTGAATGGGTTTTACCATGTTGTGTATACATTCAGGAACCTCTTTTTACAATGATATTTAGCTTAGCAGTGGTCGTGACATAACACTGCGGACTTGTGGTAGCCGCATAACCATGTGTCTGATAAAGCACTTTTGCAGATGAGCACCTTGCACATTATGTACATCACTGTTCTGCGCCCATGCACACAGGAAGTATGTCTGTGAGAGCTGTTTTCCTGCCTGTGGTAATCCTCTTTGACTGTATGCATGAAGTGAGCGTACAGAGGTACTAGGGTTCGCTTGCTGTGGTGAGACAGACCTGCATAAACAAATGGCATATTAAGCTGGACTAGGCCTTTGAAAAGCATAAGGATCTTTGTGGAAGTAAATCAATACTTTGGTACCAGGTCTGTGGCAACCTTCAGAAAATGAAATTGCACTTGTTTGTTTTCTTTTAAAAAAACTAGTTTTCTAGCACAGTGTTTCTTAAAGGAATAGAAAAAACATTTGCACACATTCTTCCTACTTCTGCTTTTTTGGTTTAGTGCTGAAGCTGTAAGGTTAACGTTGCTAACAAAGACAAAAAGTCAAGTCTCCCAGATGTCTTCCGTAAATGCCCAGAACTTCCCATCCTGCTCGAACGACTTCTGGGTCTTCATTAAGGCACTAGTTTGTTGGTATTGTTTAGGACGCAGTATGACCTTCTGTGAACTACACATTCACAAATGAACAAAACTTTAGTGGTCACATGCTGCGGGCACTACCTTTGTGCTGAAATCCGACTCTTCTGCAGATTGACTCTCCTTCTTGTGGACATAGGGGCCCTAGCTTGCGTTTAGATTTACTTTAGGTTGCTTTTTTTTCTTATCTTCAGTTTGAAAATTCTGGAATTATTATATAAAAACTTTTTAAAAAGGTAAAACAGAAATGTAAAAATCTAGGGGGGTGTGCGTGTCATATTTCAGCACCTAAAGTCCCCTGAAATCAGTATTTCGCTTATCTGAAACGTCTAGCTGCTGTGTTCGACACCAGGCATGGCAAATTGGAGACCTTCCTGGCCAAAGTGCTGCAGAGATTAGCGCTTACCCTCGTCTAACACTCTGAATTCAGTTCATAAAGGCCTTGCTAATTTGCTGATGAACTGAATCAGGTGTGTTTAATGAGGCAGTGTGCTGAAGCCTGCAGTGTTTGGCCTGCAAGGACTGGAGCCTGACCTGTGAGCTACATCATGAAGTTTTTTTCGTTTTCATTTCATTCACAGCAAGTCGTACTGTCGTAAACCACATGGACAAGCCTGTGAGACTTCACGAAAATCACCTATGCTGGACAACAGAATTAAAGACCCCTGGTCTGGAGTGTTGGTAGTACTGGTCTAGAGTCAAAACTGGTTCTGCAGGCAGAGGAATGTGTGAATGCTCACCAATATGAGAGCAAAACAATGTGAAAATAGCATGTAGAGTGCAGCTACACTCAGAACCAAACAATACTAATTGTGAAAAGCAGCAGAAGTCACAAATTCTTGGCTTTCTATGCTGTCGGGCTACAAGGTAGCCTCACCAGTGTCTGGGGCTGTTGCTGCAGGTTAAAAATACAGCCAATGTGATTGTGAGCCTGGGCTGGTCATACTATGTTTTTATTTTGTATTTTCTAATGTTCCTAGCTAAGAAAAATTAGCATGCTGCTCATGGCAAGTGGCAGAAAATGGACTTTACGACTGCTCTGTTTGTTTTAAATGTGAGTGTTGGGTCAGAGGATGACAGAAGAAAGCCAAAAACACATTAATGGAAACATGCTAAGGGTCTTTACAAAACAGCGTAAGCTTTTCCTAATAACGAGTTCAGTAACTGTGGTGTTTATTGAGTGTTTCAGCTTGATGTGTGTGTCTTCAAGGGCTTTTCACAAAAGATTTCTCAGTTTAGCCAGATAACTTAAGACTAAAGTCAGGCCTGTCCAGTAGAAGGATTTGAGGGATATCCCCTAGTTTCACTCTTTCAGGTGAGGATAAGTGGGCTTCCACCAGACACTGCAGGCAGGTGGACTAAAGTGTTAGTCAACCTGCACATAATGCAAGGGTCTTTATAATAGACACTTAGACACTTTTTACACAAATACTGTGCAGCTGATGGCTTGCCTAGTATTATTGAGTAGAGGAGTGTGTACTGAATAAACTGTGTTGTATCAGACTTGTTTAGTCCCTGTTTGGTGAAAACCTCATTCTGTTAGTGAGACCATTGTTATAAATGTGGAACCATGCCACTGACCCGAATATGTAGACTCCTCTCTTTCTACAGATGGATGTGGGGGCAACATTGACGTGTTGGTGAGATACTCCTTGTATGCATGTGGTAACTGTTTGTCTCTGTACCTCAGGGGCTGTAATTTGTCAGAAGTTGGTGGGGCTTTAACTCAGAAGCAGACTCTGAGCAGTGAGGTGGCTCAGCTGGTGCAGGAGGAGCGCCGGCTGGACGAGTTGATCCAGAAATGCACCCAGGAGGTGAAGCAGATGACTGAGTCGTCGAATGGTCAGAAATATCCTTTGCCTGGTCAAGAGCAGCGTTCATGCTGCACGCTTGCTTGAGTCGGATGTGTGCTGTGGTTTGTTTGACGCAAGCTGCCGGTTAATCAAGCTGCGTATGACCTGGATCTTTGCTGTTCAGACCAAGGATGCGTGACTGCCACATCACCCCCTATATGACTGCTTTGGCCTCCCCCCCGACCCCCACCCCCCCTGTTTTGTGTTGGACAAGATAGTTTGTTTGGTTGAATGGGGTTACAGGGCTGAAAGATTATCAATTACAACTTGAATGAGTGCAATTTTCAAATTTCAAGAGCTGTAAATTTAATTATCGCACAAATCCAAAGCTTATGAACTAGCAGTCCAAATCACTTAGCCCCATTTGATCAACAACAAAGACAACATTGTCTATTTGTATTTCACAATGTTTCAAATTAAACTAAGCTTATCTTGGTCAAGCTCTCTGTATACATGTAGAGAGAACACACCTAACTTTGACAGTTCATTGTGCTCACTCTTATAGAATTACTGAGCATAGTGGGTTGAACCATCATACGTTCTGATGAACTTTGGAATATTGAGTGTAATTCCTTAACCTTCCTCACATTCGCTTATGTGACATATCAAGACTTGCGCCGGGACCGTAGCCTGAGAGATCAGACGGTCATTGTGGTCAGAGCACCTGCTGGGACCAAGCTGGAAGTCCCTGATCCACAAGAGGTCAGTCTCTGGGTTGTGCCTGCTTCACAACCACCTTATTTGCATAACTGGATTACCCTGTAGTAAAGCAAGCTATGTGAGGATTGTTTCACTGTCTTGCCTGTCCTGACATCCAAAGATGTGTAAGCTTTTTCATTGCCATAACTTCAGTTTGAACATGGGAAAGTAGTTCCTGAGGGTCACTGTGCTACAGACCTAATTTAATGCACCAACTCTAATTATTCATCTCTTCAGCTTCTTAATGAGGTAAAAGAATTGTGTGGGGTAAAGCAGATAAACTTGTGCCTCTTCAGTGTTATGGTGCTTAAGAAATGCTGTTTGAAACAGCTAATGCACTAACGTGGTTAGGCTTCTGTAGGGTGCAGTGTTGGTTTTCTTGTTATTCTAGAGATTTTTCAAGGGATGCCTGAAGGTGCTAAATAAATTGTTTGATCTTTTACAGGGTTTACAAGTACATCTCACCAGTACGAAGGGCCCTATAGATGTCTTCCTGTGTCCGGATGAGAATACGCCTGACAGTCCGGTGAAAAATGAAGGTTTGCGCTTGAATGGAAACTCCTCACCTTTCATGAAAGTGTTAGACGGTGGGTTTACTGTGAAAGGCTGTTATTTGCCTAGTCCTGTTCTACCTTACATGCTTAATCTCTTGATTCTGTGCTACTTGTGTAGCGTCTTACTTATCTTCCTCATTTCTGCTTGCAGATGGAGGCTCTAGTCGGGCTGGTCCAGCAGTAACGGTCACCAGCTTGTCGCCCATCACATCTCCATACACCAGCCTGCTGCAGCAGACAGAAGACCAGATCCCCTACGCCGACGGGCCCTTCATCAGCCTGGGCTCGCCCCCTCTCAGTGAGGACTACCTCATGAGCCTGGGTGAAGGAGAGGGCATCACTGACCTCTTTGATGACCTGGACAGGCTTCCAAACCTTGATGACCTCCTGTGCAACTGAAAGGGTCTCAAGGTGAGACTCCATCTTGGTTTGAGAGGACATTTCAGCCCAACCTTACTGAGATAACAAGGATCCACTGTGCAGTTGCATTGACAAGTGCGACTTGCCCGTGACCTTTATTTGGAAGTGGCTTTTTTCAGTTTTTCCTTACCTCTTTAGCAGCATATAGGAGCTGCGTTTTGAAATGGGTATCAGAATTTACCCCTTTCTCCTGTCTTCAATGAAATAATTCTCTTTCAGAGGCCTTTGATTTATCATTGACTGTTTGTATAAGGAATATGTTCTCTTGCTCACATCAGTAAACATGTGAGTGTGAGAGTGAGTTTCTGTGTAGAATTACACAGCATATCTTCAGCTTATTCTGCTGCCTGTCTTGTTCATAAAGAAATGACATACTAGCAGCATAAGGTCACACCATTATTCAGGGGACACTTGTATAGAAATGTCTGCACTTGTTGCAGATTACTACACTCCCTTTCAATCAATGACCTGTTTAAGTGAAATCCCCTCACAATCGAGTTTTTCTTGACTATTGAAGGCCATTCATGTTCGGACACAGCTAAAGAGATCTCAAAGTCAAGTTTCTTTAGTATGGAGCTAATATCTTCTATAGACCAAAGGGTAAAATGGCACCTCATTCATTTTCATGGAGAATCAACATGTTCTGACACTGGCAGCGTATCCAGCTGATGTGAATTGAAACGGGGGATTTGCATGCGCCAGTGCCCAGTTCCATTTCAACTTTGGAAGTGCACTTTAGATCTCTTTTCCTGGATGTATGCTCGTGGTGCCACCATCCAACTGAAAAGAAGAAAAAAAGCTCTAGGCATTTTTGTGTGGGCAGTGATTTCTGTCCGTTGTGGCACTGCTTTACTGGAAGGGAAATGACTTGCAATTCTTGCTATGTTTTTATCAGCTTGTCATTGGAAATTTTCAGCTGCACTGTTGAGGTGTTAAGTATAGAAAGTGTGTTTTCTAAGTGTTGCTTGATCAATTTTAAATACAAGGCAGGTGTCCTTGACTAAAGCCATTGATGTTTAAAAGGTATGGTACTGTTCTGTAGGCTTGACCTAATTTAAGTAGGTGGTCACTCACTCTTGATCTTCAGTTGATCTGGAAATGAAGCTAACAATCATACCAAAACTCCACGTGGCTCTGTTGGACGATCCAAGCTTTCATTGGAGATGTCCAAGTCTGATTCTACGTTTTGTTTGCTAGTAGATAATTGGAACAGTGAATGTACGTCTGGCTGCTTCACAGCTAACACTTGGGTTCACAGACGGGCAAAATCTGCAGTACCTGGAGCTCAAGGCCTGTGATTTGAATACTTCTGTTTCACATCACTTGAATCACCTGGCATTTACCCTATGCTCAAATGGCGTAAATAGTGTAAATTTCATGCGTAAATAGCGTGCACTTCATGTATCAAGGTTGCATATCATCTGGGTTTTGCAAGCTTTACTGCTGCATAAGAGTTTGAAATACACACTCTGGAAATTTAACATGTTTGTTCTTATGATTCAATTCTAATATATATAACTTCTGTAATAACAATATAAATAATACATGTTAATTATTTGAATTGGCTTTTTGTGAAGGGGGTGGTGGTATTGGGCTGAATAATCCTGATTGGTTTGCCCCAGCACTATGTACTGCAGACTACCTCCAAACCTATGTTACATTTATAATATTGTTAGTATGTATTAAACTGTTCCTTTCTGTTTCTGTTCTGTTGCTTCCAGCATCACAACTGCTTTTGTATCAGTTTTCTCCGTTTTCTTCTCCCCCTCTTTCCTCCCCATTACTATTACTTTGAGCTGCTCATGTAATCCCACATGAAAGATTTCACCTTGGTCAGATACCTTATTTACTGCCATTTCTATAAATCAGTTTATCTGGAAAATTCTAATTTTATACACAACTTTCAAATTTCCATTTAAGTGACTTTTTGGTATAGTATGGGGTTTGAACATGTAGTTAATGTTCCCCGTTTGAGCCACATGGTGGCATTAGATTCAATGCTTTGTGCTGAAAACCATCAGTAACACTTCCTGTATTAGTCAACTGTGCCTTCAGCAGCTGTACGTTAGTAAGCATGCTTTTAGCATTTTGATATAATCATGCACCAAAAGATCTTAATGTTTTTGCTCAGTTGGTTTGTTTTTAAAAGAAAGTTAAGACATGAACATTGTAGCCTGGTGCATGTTTTCATTAATGCTGATCCTGCTTTGTGTGGCTCTGATCTAACAGTTTATTCAGTTCATTAAGGATTGAAACCAGATGTGATGGAACTAAATGCTACAAGCTGTTGGTACACCTGCCATGTTCTTGAGGCTTTTAGAGCTTCTGAGTTTGTCAGCTTGTGTAGAGTGTGTACACGATATTGGTAGGCATTTTGTGTTGCTGTAACTTTGATCAAAACAATGATTCAGACTCTAGGTCGACTGTATACTGTTATTCCCCCACATAGCTGGAATATACCCATGTACCTTGATGTACTGTAAATGATTAGTACTTAGCCATAATTATGACTGGATTATTGGTAAGAGTCTACTGCTTGTTTCTCTCCAGTGATTCCACCATGAAAGATTTACACTAGTTACCTGTCACCACCCTGTATGGTGTCTAATGAAAACCACATGATTTACAGTGTAGCTCGCTTACTGCAATACTTTGTCAGTTTTGTGGATGCACAGTTTGATTTTATGGTTGTTAGAATTAGGTTTATGAAGCTCATTGTAACTTTTGAAGTTTGTGGTTGTTTTTCCATCAGTTTAGTATGGTATCACATGCATTGCCCTTTATTACAGAATGAATGTTCACCATCAGATTGTGTAAGCAATGGTTAAGTGCATCCTGAAGAAATATACCAGTCTCAACTGTGGGCCCATAATGGAGAAAGCTGACCTTTTCCCATTCTTATCTTTTCAAAAAAAAAGTTTTCAGTTTAGGAAAGTGATTTGAATTGTGGATCCACCACAAGTGATGGAGCATTTCTCAGTATTTATTTAACATAAATGAATAACATAATATAACTATTTAATGTACTAACTTTGAATTTGAATTTTGAAATTTTTTGTTGCTTATTTCCCTCTTCACGTGTCTGACTTTTTGCACATTTTATGCTTTTATTCTCGTCAATTGAGACTTTTCCCAGTAAAACAAAAAAAAAAATGCAATTAAGTTTGCTAAATGCTAAGGACAGCTTGCTGTTCGTAATGTACTCTTTTTATATACGAGCATGGAAGTGACTGTGTGCTGTGGGTACTTGTAAATTTAGTTTTTAAATTTCTGCGTGTTTTGATAAGTAACTTAGCTTTCTATATGTAATGTCATTTGATATGAATTGTACATAAATGTCTTAACCGGGACCTCTATTCGGAATTCAAGGAGTGGATGTTGTCCCTGTTCTGAAGATGATCAAATTCTCCAGAACCTCAATAAAAGCAATAATAAGCAAAAAATCTTCTGTTTTGGCTGTACCCATACCGGCATTATACATGCCTTATTATTTTGTCATTTTAAACGTCATCCTTATGAACTTGTGATTTATGAAAAAATTCATATTTGTGAGGTAATTCGATTTTTTCACATGATTATCTCTGTAGTGCCGCCCTTTAGAAATACATTATACATTATGAATTAGATACATTGGAATTAGAAAATTCATTCACAAATTAGAATAATTTTCTTTTTTTTTCTTTTTTTTTGGTGATACAGATCCCACCCCCCCATGGGTGTTGATCGGAAATCGGAACACTATCTTCTATAAAGTGATGCATTTAAAAAGGGTTGGGAATAATTGGGGGCAGTGCCTAATTTTGTTCTTAACGATTTAATCTGGAAAGAACTTGGAGTCGGACTCCGGGATCTGTCTGTTCTGCAGAAAAGCCAAAGGAAAATAAATAACCATATTTTATGAAATTAAGTACTATATTTTTGTGTATTTTCTATGATTCCTTATTTGTTGGACTTGATTTTAATGTAGTTTTTCATTATTTTTGCTTTAAGACACAGAATAGGCGAAGCAGCGGTTTTCTGCCTATGTATGTGTACGTGTAATTGTGAGCAGCAGCGATGGGTGTTTTTGCTCGATGATGGGTCAGGGTGATGAGGTGATGCTCGTTATTGATTAGTACAGTTTTTCCCACCTGCCGGAACACGAAGCACCCAAACGTCAGTGTTTAGAGGAGAGCAGAAATCTACACTTCGATCAAAGATTACAGGGAAACTAGAAACTAAAAGATTGAGCAGCCTGTTCCAAACATCAAAATGTAGGTGTGGTTCACCTGCGTCCTTGTTAGAGGATCTGATTAATGTTCCACATGCACCTTGCTGAATCCAAAAACAAGTTTTAAATAATGTATTTAACTGTAGTGGTTGTAAAACTTTGCATTAAAATGCATTTAAAACTTTGTTACCCATGATATTGCAGACCTTTAGGCGTACATGCACACCTCCTCCCTATACAGAACTGCAATAAACTACACACTGACTTCAATCTTGTACATAAATATTTCTTATTCTAGCAGTTCATGTGTTACTGCATTCAGGGCTGTTCTCAGACTTTTGTCTTCTTGTGGCTGCTGTGGAGTGGACTGATCAGCATTATCCAACTGACTGCTTATGAACACAGGGCTACGGTAACGTCTAAATCAAAGCTAATGCACAAACTTACACTAACAGTTTATCCTGTGAAAGTTAAACAAAACATCTCTTAACAGGCTCTCAGTATCTGGTCTACATCATCTCTGTAACTGCACTGTTAAACCCTGATTGGACCTGGTAGGCCAACCAGGTCAGCAGATAGCTAACATGCTAATAGAGCTGTTCTTTAATCCCAGCACTTAAGTCACTCTAGATTTGACATTGTCACTGTTTGTTGCATTGCAAGTAACGCAAAAGACACTTTGAAATCCAATTTGAGTGGACAGAGCGTCCAGACTGAGGCGCATTTGTAAAAATCCAATTGGTATCGCATTTCAGACCACCTTCAAATGTGGTTTGGATCTGATTAGCAAAAGTCTGATTTCTTGAGCATTTTTTGCTGTCTAGATTATCGTATGTACTATCTGGATATGCCAAAAATCGTGTTGGGGCTGGCAGTCTGAACAAGGCCTTGGATAGCTAACAGCTAGTGTTAATTATCTTTGGTTTATATTAATGCAGCTCAGCTAGCTGTACTTCTAACATTTAAATAATGGAAAACTGAAAAACAAATTGCAGAGGAGACACTAAGTACTTTTGGTGCTTAATTTCACAGTAAAGCTGATCATACTGTGTGTTTTCATTTATCAGTTGTTACAGTAATATTAAAGGCAGAGGTGGAAATGGGCCAGAACGCACTGAAACGCTGATCTGGGAGTTAAAGTTGGGAAGGAACGTCATTCGACTCAGATTTTGCACAGCTAGGGAATCTTCTTTATATAGGTGAAAACCACAAATAACCGTTTACAGTTTCTAAAGTGTACAAACTGTTCTGTAGTGATGCAACTACTCCAATGGAAAATTTGAATAAGAAACTGTCAAATAAGCCTGCTTCAGCCTTGTGAAAAGAATAAGAATGTAACGTTTAGCTGCTCTGGCATGAAAACTTTAAAACTGGTTAACTGATTAATGAGTCTGAGTCGACTCAAGAAAACATAAAGCCATGCATCATCACTGTCTTGTGTTAAATGCACTCCATTTCCAGCCTTTAGCCCATTTAGCCTTTCAGTGGACAGTCATGGTGCGGCATGGTCCACCCACTCTGTCTTCATGGAAACAGCAGCAGTCCATCAGCAGGCGGTGTGTTTGTAAAGCATGAAATATGTAGTTGACTATGTAACTTATTTGACGATTCATGTATTTATTGTTAGAGAACCTATTATGCTCATTTTCAGTGTTCATAATTTTATTTTCAGGGTCTACCAGAATAGACTTACATGAGTCAATGTCCAAAAATACACATGATTTTTCTAATATTGTACAACTGAATTCACCCTCTGTCTGAAACTCTCTGTTAGAGCTCCTGTGTTCTTGAGCCCTGCCTCCTAATGAGTCCATTATGCTCTGATTGGTCAGCTTACCCACTCTGTTCTGACTGGTCAACCACCATTGTCTTGCAGTCTGAAGACAGACCCTTCTCTCGTAAGCTGCTGTAAATACCGGTGTGGCTGTTTTTCCAACAGCGTCGGCTTTGCTGTATCAGTTTGAGTCCAATCCTGAAAGTCAGGTCAGCTTTAACAATCTTCTCGTCAAGCCAAGTCGTGAGGACGGGCCAAACTTGCCAGTAGGCGGGCAGTATTATATAACATAATTGTGTTACGGGATTGCGTCATCTTGCGTCAACAAAGGAAAAGGGCTGGAATTCCAACAAGGCATTTCAGGAAGCTGAGAAAAGTGGTTTTTGTGGGAGAAAGTTATGCCCTGTGGCGTGTGCTTTGAGCTCTGTAACTTTGTATCAGTGAGCTCCTTTTAAAATATCTGTGACAAATTTTCATGTTAGCCAGTGGCCCGAAAGTAAGGTAATAATTGGTACTAAAATAACTAGCCTGCTAATGTCTCTACACTAATTAGGGATGTAAATTTTGGCAAATTATTTTGATAAGCGAGAGTCATTAGTCAACAATTAATCACTAACCAGCAAGCCTAAAATCGAGGACACAGCTTATCAAAATATCAAGTATAAAACGCACAGTTCTGTTGCTGAGCCACATTGTCTTTCTTTGTGTATGGTATGCACACTTATGCACACATAAATTCAGTATTAATGCACCAAGATTTTAAACTGTTCCATGTGTGGACCACATAGTATTGATAGGTGGAGTCAGGTGTGTGTATGAAGTAAATGGCCTAAACTGTCTTAAACATACCTTACATAAGAACTCAGCATGTATGTTCAGGATTATATGACCAAAAACGAAAACGTGAATGGAATATATAATGATGAGGTACTGAAAATTCTGTATTATGAAGTTCTATGGTTATATTTATCACTCATTACAAGCTGAAGTTAAAACATATAAATGCCATGACCTGGGCTAGTTTTGACTCAGTGTGCCTGTGTAGCTCTGTAAAGCCATCGCTGTCCATGTTCTCTATAACTTTGCACATTCATGTGTGATTTCTTCACACTGCTGTGCATCACGTTTTCTCCATGGGAACACAGACATAAGAATCGTCTGTCTTATTGGTTGTGGATATTTGCTTTCAATACTGGCCATAGTTGTAGTTGTGCCATCATCTTCTCAGTGTTCCCAAACACCGTTTTATACATACGCTTCATTTTTAGTAGATCTATCTAGTGGAACCAATTATCTGTTGTGCCCTCACTAATACAATGTTTTTCTCCAAAATGCCAGCTTTTTTCCTTTTTCTAAACTGTTCTCAATAAACATTCTTGCACTCCATAGAAAGCATACAACAAAGGTGTCCAGTCCTGAAAAGAGCATGTGTGGTTGCAGGTTTAAAGTTTGAAGAATGAGACTAAAGCCGCTTCGCCTCGCTCTCGCCTCGCCTCGCCTCGCTCTCGCCTCGCCTCACTCTCGGTATCAGCTCCTTCGTTGTAGTACCAAGAGTAGTAGATGTAGTACCCCCTCAATGTAGATGGTTGTCATAGTGTCACCAGGTGAAACTGCCGTGATGTGAAGGAGACAAGTTTTGCCTGGAAGAGACTGATATCAGCAAGAAAAAGAACAGGAGAGTTTGGGAAATACTACATCAGAGTTGAGACGATGAGACAATTCTTTCGTATAGAGTGTTAGGCCAGCCTCTGATTTGGGGTTCTTCTGTATGTTGCAGGACAGACTACAGCCTAACATGGACAATAACAACCTTAAATTCAACATGAAATGATAGTCTTGACAGATAAATGCTTCTGAATTCATAAGGAGAAAACAAAATCTAAGTGAAATGC